GACCCTTCAGTCCACAGGCTGACGCTCTATCGACTGAGCCAAACCGGTTTCGGCATTTCTTCATTATTAAAATGCCTATAATCTATGTCCTCTTTAAATTCCTTGGGAGACTGAAGTAGACTTTGTCTAAAATTCCCTTCAGTTTGCTGGCATTCAAATACTCCATTAGAGCGTTTTTCCTCTCTCTTTAGCACACTGCATTTGGACTTCCCTTCGTTTTCTTTGCAGAATGATGTGGTCGTTTCCTGTGACAGACAATTCAGGATAGTTCCCTCTTCTTTTTCTTTTTTAATTTAATATATTTTATTGATTTTTTACAGAGAGGAAGGGAGAGTGATAGAGAGTTAGAAACATCGATGAGAAAGAAACATCAATCAGCTGCCTCCTGCACACCCCCTACTGGGGATGTGCTCATAATCAAGGTACATGCCCTTGACCGGAATCAAACCTGGGACCCTTCAGTCCGCAGACCAGTGCTCTATCCGCTGAGCCAAACCGGGTAGGGCCCTCCTCTTTTTCTTGCCTTAAGATAGATGTCTGGCCCTGGCCGGTTTGGTTGCGGGCACATACCCAGTGGGGAGTGTGCAGGAGGCAGCTGATCGATGTTTCTCTCATTGATGTTTCTAACTCTCTATCCCTCTCCCTTCCTCTCTGTAGGAAATCAATAAAATATATTTAAAAAAAAAAAAAAAAGATAGATGTCTGTGAACCCAGACCCTCTGAGCACCTACAGACATAAAAAAGGGGAAGGGGAAGGGAGAGTTCTCTTGGCCACAATCATAATCATCTACCTTCAGGGCAGTAAGGACCTGAGTCAGTTTTAAATCATCTGCAAGGAGGGAGAAAATCTAAGAATTCCTCTCTTGGCTGGTCACCACAGGCTAGTCCCAAATTCAAGATTGAGAGCCCCAGACACTGGGAGAACTGGCCACAGAGGTCCTTGGATAATGGTGGGAAGGCACAAGCCTGGCCTAGGGTATCAGAGAGCCTGGCTCTAATCCTGGCTTTGTCACTCTCATTGTGTGGCCTTAGGTAAGGCACTTCTCTCTGGGCCTCAATTTACTCTGTAAAATGTATACAGTAATACCTACTAAGAAAGTTGTGAAAACTAGAGGTGATGCTAATATAGGTGCTAAATTAGTCTCTGACACATGGTAGGCTTTTAACAATTAGTAGCTCTCATTTTTATTATTATTAGGCACTTAGATTTTACATGTTAGTCTCCCCAGTGTTTGTTGATATCTCAAAGATAGGAACTATGTCTTAAATGCCTGTGTATCCCAAGGACTAGCCTAGTTCAAAATTTATACTAATGCTAAACTTGCTCTGTGGTAAGAGCCTAAGCTTTGGAATCAAACTGAATGGAAAATGAATCCTGGATGCAATACCCAATAGCTGTTTCAATATTGACTTTTTCTACCTGGGCCTCAGTTATTTTTCTATAACATGGAATAATAATACCCACCTCCAAGTTTGTTAGGAGAATCAGATAAGATTGTCGTACCACTGCATTTCAGCCAAACATGATTCTTATAGTAATTGCTCTCCTGCTCAGAGCCCCATAATTTAAGAGGGACTTTGACCAATCAGAAGGTGATCAGAGGCAGCTTGGTCTAGGAACCAATTGATGTAAGTATCAGCTGAAGAGCTGGGGACTTTTGCCCCTTACTGGGGAATAATATGCCAACAAAGGACTTTTATCCAGAATACATAAAGAATCCCCAAAACGTAACATTAAGAAAACAAACAATACCATTAAGAAATGTGCAAAAGACTTTAACAGTTACTTCACAGATAGCAAATAAGCACATGGAAAAATATTTCACCTTCATGAGCTGGTAAGGAAATGAATATAAAGCTACAGAATACTAAATGAGCATAAAGCTATCAGAATACTAAAGTAAAAACACTGGCAATACCGAGTAAGGGATGAAGCAACTTTTGGAAGACAGTTTGGTGTTTTCATAAAGTTAACCATACATCTATTATATTTATTAATTTCCTATGGCCAGTGTAACAAATTACCATAAACTTGGTGGCTTAACATAATAGAAAGTTATTCTCTCACAATTCTAGGGGCCAGAAGTTCAAAATTAATTTTGCTGGACCAAAATCAAAGTCTCTAGGGGGAAATCTGTCCCTTGCCTCTTTGTCTGGTGACTGCCAGCATTCCTTTGCTTGTAGCTGCATCACTCTAATCTGTCTCTGTCTTCCTATCACTATCTGTGTGTGTCTATCTCCTTCTGCCTTTCCCATATAAGGACACCTGTGATGACACTTTGGGCCCACCTAGATAATTCAGGATAATCTCCTCAAAATTTTCAATTTAATTACATCTGCAAAAACTTTACCATATATGGTAACATTTACAGAGTCTAGAGATTAGGACCTGATCTCTTTGGGGACCACCATTCCGCCCACTCTACCATACAAAATAGCAATCATGCAGCTAGGTATTTATCCTATAAAATAAAAATGTATGTCTATATAAAAGCTATACAGGAATGTTCATAGCAGCTTTATATTTAATAGATAAAATCTGGAAACAACCCAAATGTTCTTCAATGGGCAAATAGTACAACCATACAATGAAATATATGTAGCTATGAAATGGAATGAACTATCCATACACACAATATTTTGAATGGATATCAAGGGTATTATGCAGAGTAAAAGAAGCCAATCTCAAAAAGTTATATACTGTATAATTCCACTTATATAACACTTCTGAAATTATGAAATTATAAAAATGGAGAATGGATCAGTGGTTACCAGGAATTAGGTTTAGGAGGAAGGTATGACTATATAAAGGAGTAGCATGAAGAAGTTTCTTTGTGGTGATAGAACAATTCTTTATCCTGATTGTGGCAGTGGTTATAAAAAGCTACATATGTGATAAACTTTTATAGTACTGAACACCAAAAAAAGAATATATAAAAACTGTTATAATTGAATAGGACCAATAATAGCTTAGTTAATCTGTATATATAAAAGCCTAAGTGACCAAATGGCTGGCTGGTCGACTGCCTGCCCCCTGGTGGTCAGTGCACATCATAGCGGCCATAGCATATCATTAGCATATTACGCTTTGATTGGTTGAATGGTCAACTGGGCCAGACACTTAGCATATTAGGCTTTTATTATATCGGATTATCAATGGGGAAAGCTAGGTGAAAGATATATGGAACTCTGTACTATTTTTGTAACTTCTTGTGAGTCTTAAATAGTTTAAAAAGAAAAAGTTAAAAAAAATTAACAAGGAAATTTATTCACTCTGTAGGTGATTAGTCCAAAAGTAAGGGTGGGCTTTAGGCATGGTTTGAATAGAAGTTCACAATGTCCTCAGGCTTGTGACTACATCCTCTGAGATTCTGCCCTCTATTTATGTTGGCTTTCTCCTCAGACTGACTTTTCTCATGGTACTAAGTTGACTGCCAGCATTCCCTGAGACTACATGCTTTTTGTTCCCTTCTATGCACCAGGAGGAAAAAGAAGGAGCTATTATTTTCCTTTAGTCGGGGGTAAATATAAAGGCCTGAGCTCTATTCTGATTAGATCACCTTAGGTCATGTGCCCACGCCTAAATCAATCACTGTGCCCAGGGAAATGCTATGAATTGATTTCCCATCCACATGGCAAAGAAATGGAATTACTTGATTGGTTCAGATCATTTGGGTCCCACTCCTGCCGCTGAAATGGAGCCAATCCCACCCTACTATAATTGCTATAACCAGGTAGGGAAGGAGAAAAATGGGTTTGGGTAGCCAACTCCAATATCCAGTACATCCTTCTTGAAATTCACGCTTCCCTTGGTTTCAAAGGCACCATTTTTACCCCCTAGATATCCTCCATCAAGGGTCTTAAAGTATATGAGTTTTCTAGAAAGAAGAAGGTATAAAATGTCATTCTAAAAGAAACAGCACAAAAGACCCAGAGATGTGAAGGAATGGACCCATTTAGGGAACAATGAAAATTTTGGTGTGGCAAAGCATAGAGTTCATGAGGGAAGAGTGGTTAGTAATGAAGCTGAAGAGAAGAGATGGGGCCAGTGGTGAAGAGCTTTGAAATATCACAGTCAATGGTTAAGACATTTGAAGACTTTTGAAAAAGAATAGTCCCTGCACTCACTTGACCTTAGAAAGATCTCTCTGGCTACAGCCCAGAGGATAGCCTGGAGGGGGCCTGACTAGAGGCTGTTCCAGTGCTCTGGGCAGAAGTTGAATGCCTTACCAAAGGTGGTAGCTTTGAGAATGGAGAGAAATGGATGAATATGGCAGACAGTGATTTGGGGGAATCAGCAGGACCTGGTGAACTGCTTGGCTTTGTGAAGGGATTGGAGGAGAAGGTGTAAGAGATGACTCACATTTCTGGCTGAACACTTGATACATTTTTTAGGCAGGAATGCCCAATTGTGTCAAATGCTGATAAGCCTAGTGAGATAAGGACTTATAAATGACCATGGATTTAGTGACAAATGTTTTAAGGTGTGGTGGGGGCAGAACCAAGAATATTGCAGCAGAGTAAGTCAGGGAAGTGGAGAATAATAAAGCCAGGTGAGCCTCCTTTCAAATTCAGATATAAGGGGAGGAGAAGATAAAGCAATAATAAAGTCATGGAATCTATTAAAATAATGTATGTTTTTAAATTTTCCAGCACTTCTCTGCCTACTTACTGGTGGTGAAATAAGCTTGTATCCTTATCTATAAAATTAGTTTTTTAATAGTACCTACCTCATGGGTTTATGTTGAAGATCCAGTCTTCATATCTCCTAACAATTGTTTAGTCTGTCTCCCCCACTAAACTTTAAGTTCATTAGGAACATTGACAGCTCCTAGTGCAAGGCATGGTGTATTGCTAATAAACTAATAAATATTTGTTAAATGAGTGTTAAGATTCTGAGCACAGTCCTACCTGCCCATGATAAGCACTCAGGGAAGTTAGCCAGAGTGTGTGAGCCTGATGGGAGGAATGGGATGCAGGAGGAAACCCTATGCCCTCAGCTTGCTGTTTTCCAGAACCCGAGGAAATGTCCCCTGACTGCCAAGATGGGAATACAGGCAAGTTCGTGGAGATACCAGAAGTGAATTCTCTAAGGCAGAGTCACCCCTTCCTGAACTCACGGCTGGACTGCAATGAGGAGCAGGCGATGGACCCCAAACACCTCTTCCAGTACTGCTTCATGGCCACAGTGACTACCAGTGACATTCCAGGCAGCCCTGAGGAGGCCCTTGTCCCCAATCTAATCACACATGGACCAGACCCATAGACATCCAATAAACTTCTCTACACCATCCTCTTCTGGAGTCTCTTTTCAGTGAAAGGTGGGGGTAGGGATGATCAAAGGGACTTGATAAAAATGGGACAAATGAGATAAATGAAGGCTTTTCCCAGCCAATCTACCCAGGGCCTGCTGTGGACCCAGCTATTCTGCTCTGCCTGGCCCACTATGAGCCAAAGGGAGTTCAGTCATGGATCCCAAGTAAAATGATCAGTAACAACTCCATGCAATAAAAGAGAAGCCTGGGGCCCGAGGAGGCTCAGACGAGCCCCTCACCTAACCTGAAGTGTCAGAACCCTGACTTGTTCTTCCTGCCACAGAGCAAATATACTTAGGGTACCATGGAAGATGACTGGTACTCGGAGGCAAGTGACTCCTGCCTCTCCAGCAGCTCTGCCCCACTCTTAGAGTGAGCCCCTTGCCAAGGAATAGAACAAGAGGGAATGTAGAGTACATAGGGCCCAACCATGTTTAGTATCATTCAACTAGTGACCCGGTGCACGGATTCATGCACATTGAAAGGAAATTAATTAGAAGGTGGCCAGTGCGGTGGGACTGGGAAAGACGGGCCAGACATGCCCTGGAGCCAAGTTCCCTTGGTCCCTCCCTGGCTGGCCATGCCTCAGGTGGCGCCGTGGCTCAAAAGGTGTTGTGGAGTGAATGGGGTCCCTCTGGCAGGTGAGGTCCCTCGACCTGACCTGTGAGGATTGGGCTGAAACTGGATCTCTGACATCCCCCAAGGGGTCCCAGAGTGTGAGAGGGCACTCTGCAAAGTTGCTGTCGTACAGGGTGTGGAACACAAACGCAAGTGTGCAGTAAACCAGATTCGGGGCTGACAATGCCCCAGTAACAACATAGCTCACAGCCGAAGGTGGAATCTCACTGCTCCCGCCTCTCTGGTTTTGGGGTGTGTCACCCGAAAACCGCTGCTGCCAAGTCACTGCAGTTCAGCAGCTCCTGCGTTGAGCGTCTGCCCCCTGGTGGTCTGTGTGCATCATAGCAACCGTTCAATCGGGCGGAGGAACACTTAGCATATTAGCCTTTTATATATATAGATACCTTAGGTGGATGAAAAGAATGAATCAACAAGTAAGTGAGGGAATGAATGGTTAGCAGACCAAACACAGGCTCCACAAGGTGGGCTTGGCCACTTCCTAACCTGTGTGTTCTTGATGAAGTCCCTTAGTCTCCCTGAGCCTTGGTTCCTTTGCTAGGTTAGGGCAAGTGTTCAGAGATGATGGATATGAACCCCCTTCATAAACATGAAAGTAATACAAATATTTTAAAATTAAAAGTGAATGTTTTTCAATATAACAGTAAGAGCAGGTACTCTGGAGCCAAATGCCTGGTTCAAATCTTGTCCCTGCTCATCCATCTAGGTAGGTATAATAGTAGTACCTACCTTATAGGATTTTGGAGGATTAAATTACTTTGTGCCAAGTACTTAGAACAGAGTTGGAAAATGGAAAGCTTTTTTTTTTTCTTAAATTAAGCTGATAGCAAAGAAATCTTAGGGCAGGATGCTGACTGCCACCCCTCTCATTTGTTCTCTTTTTTAATTTATTTTGAAAGTCTAATTGGCTTAATTAAGTGATTCATGAAGAGAGCAGCATCCCATGTAGCAGATACAGAGGAGCACCCCCCTGTTTTCTTCATCTTAACTTTAGCAGTGGCTTTAGGCTTTGCCTTGAAGTGCAAGGCAAGTATTGGTGAGACTCAGTAGCCACTAAAAGCAGCTCTTGACATTTCTCACAGTGACACAACCTGCTGCCGGATTTGACAACAATGAATTGGTCACTCTTAGATATCTGTACATGGAGCTCGAGGCAGCCAAGGGTACATGATGGGGTGGCAAGGCAGGGTGAGTCACCCACAGAAGTACCCTAGGCTGGAAGCCAAGAGGCCTCAGTTCTGGTCTTGCTTCATTTGTTATCTTCTGTGCATGTGTGTATCTTATTTTCAGCATTCTAAACCCAGCACTTCTGTCTACTTCTTGTATATTCAGTGGCATCTTCTGTGCCAGGACCTGTGCAGGTTCCCAGAAACAAAAGGGAATCAGCCACAGAGCTGCCCTCAGGGGATCATCTGGAGGGCAAGGTAGGCACACAAAAGGGCAGTTGGCCCAATGGCAGCCCTTCATGCAGCTTGAGAAAGCAATGTGATGTCTGAGCTGAATCATCAAAGATGAGTCAGAGTTTCCAGGTAAGACAAGGTCAGAAGACATTATGGTCAGAGTACAACCTGTTCAAAAACAGTGAGAGAGCCTAGCATAGCCCAGGAACTGCACGTTGCAGGAAGTTTAGTCTCTGATGTTCTGTGTGATCTTTCACAGGACAGATCCCACCGCTCTCCTTAGCATCCCCATCAGTAAAATCCAATTTTTCTTGGCACACTTTTTATACTGGTGCATCTGGGGGGGGTGGGGGTGGGGGTTCTAGGAAGAATCCAATGTTGCCCCTGCCTCTAGGTCTGATAGGGGAAGATAATCTGTAAAATCTAAAAACTCCAATGGTTGTCAGTGGCCTAAAACAATGGCTCTCTTGAGCCTGCGTCAGAATCAGCTGGAGGGCTTGTGAAAACACAGATTGCTGGGTCCTCCTCTCCCCCCCCTCAGAGTGTGCAGTAGGTCTGGAGAAAGTCCCCAGAATTTGCATTTCTAAGTAGTTCCAGGTGATGTTGCTGTTGCTGGTCTTTGACCAAGACTGGCCAAGAAGAACAAAAAGGACTCAGAGCTGGAGATTAGGAGGAGACCTCACACTGAGCAGGGCCTTGAAGACCTGGTAGAATTTCCCCAGCAGGAGCCTGTGTGGATGGGGTGGGTATAGGGGGAAAATAGACTGTGTGTGCTATCTTTGTGGACCTACACATCCCAGGCCCATAAAGCTCCTCCCCATCCATTCCCCAGATTCAGCTTCTCTTGTTTGAATTCAATCAACCCTCAGAGCTGGCTCTCACTGGGGCTGGCTTGTCTGAATCTTGGGTGGGAAATAAACTGCCCACCCTGTGCAGGAGTCCCCCCTCCCCCAGGGCAGCCGGGGAGGAAGGAAGCGGGTAGGCTGACGCACAGACAGAAATAGTCTGAGCTCACTGCTGCTCCCAAGCACACATCGACCAGCAATTATTTCTTGTAAATTGCTTTCCCAGTTATGTTCAGAGCCTGTGTGTGTGTGTGTGTGTGTGTGTGTGTGTGTGTGTGTGTGTGTGTGTGCGCGCGCGCACGCGCTCGTGCCTGCCTGAGAACAAACACCCAGAGGGCCCTCGGCGATGGAGGTGGATAGCTGGGGAGTGGTATCCAGAGCCCAAGTCTGAATCTTCACCAAGAACTAGGGAACTGTTGACTCTTAAAACTTGAAATATTAGAACCTTCCATCCACTTTTATAACACTCCTGTCAGGTGGTTTTCCGGCCTCTTCTCAAACATTCACATTTTTTTGTTCCTTCAACGTTGATTGACAATGATGCTCTGCCAGGATATGAGCTACATGAAGTCCCAGTTCCTGTCTTCAAGGAGCTCAGGCCTTGGGTGTCTATAGGAGGTTCCCTAACCCAGCCAAGAGCTTTAGGGAAGGCTTCTTGGAGTAAGTGATGCCTGAATTAAGTCTTGAAATACCCACAGACAAGTGAAAAGAGGTTTGTCATACAAGATAGGGAATAGCATTCAAGGCAGAAGGAACAGCATAATAAGTAGCTCAGTTTGGTGGACACTATAGTCAAAATGGGGAAGAGTGAGAGATGAAGCTTCAGGGGAATAGAGATCAAGTCCTGAAGCCTTAGCCATATTAAGGGGCTTTGGCTTTATCCTGCCAGGCAAGGGGGAGCCAGAGGAAAGGGTATTTTTTTAATCCTCACCCAAGGATATGTTTTGTATTGATTTGAGAGAGAGAGAAAGGGAGAGGGAGAGAGAGAAACATCTATGTGAGAGAAAAACATCGATTGGTTGCCCACTGTGCACACTCAGACTGGGGATCAAACAGCAACCTGAGTATGTGCTCTGACTGGGAATGGAACCATAGCCCTTTGGTGCACGGGATAATGCCCCAACCAACTGAGCCACACCAGCCAGGACGGGAAAGGGTTTTTTTAAGCAGAGAAAGGAACGCAGCACCTTATCTGATAGCTTGCTCTCATGTTCTTCATGACACTTAAGTGAAATTTGCCACCTAGGAGCTCTTGAATGCCTGCCCCTTTCTTTCCCCAAACCCTAGAAGTCTGAAGGCTTGTGTGCCCACAAGAAATGGCGCAAGCCCTGCACATATCTCCTCTTGTTAGGAGGAGGCCATTCCACTGCCATCTGCAACACTGCTCTTCCTGGCCTATGCATAGTTAACTCAGAGCCAGAGCATGAGGCAACTGAAGCCCAGGCCACAGGCCAGAGCCCAAGAGAGCGCTGTGCTTTGCTCTGTTCCAGAGACCTGGGAAACTCTCATGTATGAAGAGGATGTAGATGGCTCCTTTTCCATTCCTCACAGGATCAAGGCCACCAGAGTGAGTAGTGGGTAATCCATTCAAGGAGTTTTGACTGAAAACAAACTGTGGGCCCAGCACTCTGACAAACACTTTAGGATAGAAGTTGCAGCCCTACTCTCAGGGACTTACTCACTGGGGATGAAGAGAAGGTTTGACCCATGAAACTCCTAGAGCACAGTTAGAAAAAGTTTGAAAGCAAATGCCAAGGAGTTAGGCAAAAACCATTAGAGTTCCAGAAATTCTAAAACAGGATAAAAGAAATAATCTGAAAATATTTGAGGAGGAAGTGGTGGGTTGAATTTGAGCTTGATAGACCATGGCAATATTTTTTTAAAATATATTTTTAATGATTTCAGAGAGGAAGGGAGAGGGAGAGATAGAAACATCAATGATGAGAGAGAATCATTGATTGGCTGCCTCCTGCACGCTCCCTACTGGGGATTGAACCTGCAACCCAGGCATCTGCCCTTGGCCGGAATCGAACCAGGAACCCTTCAGTTCGCAAGCTGATGCTCTATGCACTGAGCCAAACCAGCTAGGGCTGAAGG